GGTCTCTTCTCATTTCTGAAAGGGTGATGAACTGTACATCGCTGCTCCAATGAGTGTTGTGAATTTCGCAAGTCTTCGAAATGTTTGTTTCTTAATTTTTTAATCATGCAGGTTTCCTCATGTTTTCATTCACCCCCAGCATGTGGTGAATAAGTATTTAAAATTACTTTTAACAATTTATTTGGTACCGACGTACTGTGAAATTTACAGCGACCGTTTAACCGCTACTCCTGAGGTACCCTAGCTTTATTATTCCATTCAGAAGGAGGAATTTCTTCCTTTTTGATCGATGCTATTATAGGTCTACATGATACCACCATATATATCTTAGATTCGCCAAGATTTCTGGTTTTAAATCGAAAAAACAAATTGTTGGTCTTCAGGCCGTTTGTGTTGTATTTAATTGTCCCATATATTTTAACACTGAATTCTAGCTTTTCGCCAATGTTATCGCTTAAACGTTGTATCAAAGTTACTTGTAGATCAGGATGAGTGAGTACCTCTTTATTCACTTGTGATGTTATACCATCTTCTAGGTTGTACATAACTTCATATTGTTTGGACTTTACCGTGGATACACCGATAATGGACGATCAATATTACACAAAGGTATGAAGTGAAATAACACTTACGCATTAACTCTTACAGTCCCATAGATGGGTATAGAGTCCCCTTCTTTATATTGAACGGGTAATGGAGCGCGAACAGGGTCTACGGGTCCAGTCTGTGTTGACGCACTTTACATATTCCGTACATATTTTATTTCTCGTACGTGCAGGACATTTTACAGCGTTTTCTTTATTTATTTATGTCTTTGTTCTAATGTAGAATAAAAAGTCAAATAAAGAAGATACTTAATTAAAATAATTTTTATACTCTACTAATAATGGCTAAGTAATCAAGTGCCGTGGGATGGCGGCATTAAAGAATCAATCACTCAATTTCATCCCATGAGGTTTGGTAAGAGGTGTCTTAGGGAAATACTAGAAAAATTATAATTCATAAGTTTGCTATTTTGTTTCCGAGCTTAGAGCAAAAAAAAGAATTACTATTGTATTATTTTTTATATAAGAGGGTACAAACGAACGAAAGAAACATCAGGTGGTATGGTATGGTAAGTGAATATCGCCACCCATGAACAACAGCACAACCAGGGGAACTGCAGGTGCGTTGGTGACCTTTTAAAAAGAGTAGACTCTTTTCTTGATGGTCCCTAGGTCGTATTGATTAGCAAAATTTGAGGGAGTGCGAGGAAGAAAACGTCCCGTAAATCATGGAGTGGTGGTTGACCACCAAACATACTAGCGAGTTTGGACGCGATGTGCGATAGTGAAATTTAGCGGCTAGAATTAGTCCGAACTATTTCTCGGAGCAGAGCCGTGATAGATGCGATTAAATATAGAAAGGGATGCAACATCTCTTTACCAATTACTAAAACCTCGAAGCGAAATACAAATACAAATAGAAATTGCACTCATTATTCGAAAAAATAATTTATGAGTCTTAACAATCTTACGAACCAACAAATTTTTACGATTTCAATATCTTAAACGATTCAAAGTTGTATTTATCGTAGAAATATTTCTAGAGTTTTTTTTAATCATAATTTTTAATTGCTACGTTATCGAAGTAGAGCAAAAGATCAAAAGAAGAAATAATGACTGTAGTCAGCACCAATTAACTAAACTGTATTGGCTTCACTTGTCTGCGAAAAAAAATTAATGGCGAATGTACGGAATGTAATTTCTTTTTATCTAGTTTACAATTCTTTTAAAATATTGTTTTTTTATTGGATAGGGTTACAAACGAGCACACAGTCCACTTGATGGTAAGTGGTTGCTGTGGCTCATAGACATCTGTCCTCGATTACAAATCAAAATGCAGATGCGCTGTCACCCGTGAGGACTAAGATGGAATGCCCCGTTTCCAGTAAAAGGAGTCTCAGGTTCTCTACACGCACCATACGAAACACAGCAGCATTAAGCTACTACTATTTCACGCTGGTATTCTGTGAGACCTTGGTTCTTCCCCGGTCGAGCCGACTCATTCCGTGCTACATCTATTATTATAACTGCAGCATGGCTCTACCATATTTAAACGATATATGATACACTACTAAAATTATTTATCTATCCCGTCAATCACTAACTCCCAACCCTTATGTCGCTGAATATAGGTCGTATTTTTTTTTAAAGAAGTCATTGTTTCATTTATGTAAGAGTTTTCGGAAATGTCAATTAAAAATTTCATTGGTGTTGGCTAGGATCGAACCTGGACTGCTCAAGTACTGTTTAATTGACGGGTAACTACTGTGTAATGTCAGTGTAAGAATGTCCTCGTCCCGTGATGTGACAGAGGGAAGCAAGCCAGGTGATGGCCAAAATCGTCTTTCCAATAAGAACTAAAAAATAGAAACTGCGATTGACAAACCGCCTGCAAAGCGTGGCAACTATGGTAAACATCGGCCTATGAGGCTATCTATGTGGGAGGCCTATATTTAACAGTGTACTTTGACAGACGGTTAAGACAAGATCTTATTACAAGACGTGGCTTAAAGAAAAGTCTTTGTTACAATAGAAGTCCCTTAGCCGCGGCTCCACGTTTTCGCGAAATTTTACATTTGAGAGCAAATGTAAACTTTTAACTTTAATATTCTAAATGGGACGTTTTTATTTTACATGACTTTAATTTAAGCATGATTTTAATTTATACGCCTTTCTTAATAATTGTTTCAAGTAGATAAAGTTGTATATACTAATTTCCGTAGTGCCGGCAATGTACGACCTCTTTTTAGTGAGCGCACAGCCTTAGAATGTTCCCAATATATTCGAGATAATCACTCCGCCAAATATCGGAGGCCACAGAAGGCTCTTACCGATTGCATTGACAGACTACTACAAAATCTATGATAAAATACATATTCACTACACGGATATAACAGAATTCATTTATCCAACAGGTAGATTGTATTGAGTGAAATTGATCGAGTCAACGTTGCGTGAGAGGTGTACACAGTCTTTTCCTTAAAACTTAAACACAAGAGATGATTTCTTTTTATCTTCGAAAAATATGGAGTTATTGGTCCACTTGTGACAATTGGTAATCTAAAATTCAGTTTGCAAAGTCGCGTCGCTGTCGCCGAGCCGTCACTAGTCCCTACCTTATGAAGGCCAACGAATTATAAAAAAGTTGGGGAATGTTATTTATAATCTAATGTAATTTTTTCAATTATAAATAATAACATTTTTTCTTTTTTGACACCTTTTTAGTTTTTCGCAATTAATTTGGATTTTTACTTTTTATAAGACTGAACAAAAAGGGGTGGAAATTACGCTTCTGTACAACATCTAAGAGAAAAAAAATACTGCAGTACCCTATTCCCTGGACTTGTTGAGTTGTATATATATTCTACAAAGAAAAATCTTCAAACCATTTAATTGTCACTAACCGTCAAAGAAAGTCTCAGTGATTTATCCCTGAATAATTCTGAGAATAGTTTGCAAGCCTCAAAATTTTGGTCGTGCAATAATAATATGTGAAAATTTTAATTGAGTTTGATAAGAACCGGTAAAATTATGCTACGACATTAATTTCTTCTAACGTTAAGCATGTACATATTAAGACTCTACCTATAATAATTAATCATATTATATACGAAATAATTAATCATGTATATCATTATCCACTTGAAAAAAAATAGTTTATTTTATTTTAATGTGAAGTAAAAAACTAGCTTACAGTCTAGCGATAGTAAATACATTCTGCAGCCCATGAACAGATGCAAATTTAAACAAAGAAGGAAACGGATTGGTTTTCTTCCCTAAAGACTTCAATAAAACACCCTACAGTCTGTTGGAGATTTGAACGTTTTTATTTTTTGATACTTTTCTCGTTATAACTGATTTTTGATCAATATATTAATATATTATATAATTGTCACATATTAATTTGTTTTGTCGAGACGATAATTCATATCTACCCTAGGAATCTGTGATGGCGTTATGGTCTAGTTATTAATATATTATATTTTTATATACCAAAATGACTGCAACACACACAACAACACACATGACTTTTCTTTTTTTATAGGATGGGTGACAAACGAGCACATCATAGTCCACCCGATGGTAAGTGGTTGCTGTGGCCCATAGATATCTACATCTATCCTTGATTACGATACGTTGTCATCCGTGAGGACTAAGAAGGAATGCCTCGTTTCCAGTAAAAAGGGTCTCCGGTTCTCTACACTCACCATACGAAACACAGCAGCACTAAGCTACTATTTGACGCTGGTATTCTGTGAGAGCGTGGTCCTTCCCCGGTCGAACTGACCAATTAGTGCTACAAATATACTACTAATATAACTGCAGCATGGCTCTACCACGTATGAACTACTAAATTACCGTTACTACCGACACTGAAATTGCTTATTGCAATTGTACGTGATTCTCTTTGTTATTTTTGCGGTACTTGAGTCTCTCAGAAATTAAATATGTTTGTGAAGTCATCACAAACAGGGTTAGCAGTCTTACTCGTTCATTACCTTTCATTTATGAGAGTATGCCCATTGTCAGCGAAATATCTGAATCTAACCACTCTTATTTCTCTTTAAAGATTTTTAAAATTTTTATATTAGTATCATAGAAGAATTTTAGAATATAATTGAGTAGTCCACTTGCAAAATGCGTTATATTGATTGACTAATGAATTAAGAAAATTAATTAAAACATTATATCTGTCAAAGTAAGTTAAGAAAATATTGTTACTTTAGTATACGCTTAAGTGGTATTATTTAGAATTATTTTATTATAAAAAATAAAATCTCGGTATAACATTAATCTTTTAATTTGAATATTAAAATTGAAGATAGCAAGTTCTGCAAAAGTATTCGTAACATAAACATTTTTGCAGTTGTATGGAATTAACATAGACAGTTTTGAATCAGTTTTTCACTTATGTCTTAAAACTAAGTTATTAATAATTTTAATAACTTAGTTTTTTTACACTCTTATATCTATTTCATCTTCCATTAGAGTTTCTTCAGAGTCAGTTTCTATTAAATTACTTTCATTTTCTTCTTCTTGTAAAAACTTATAATATTGAAGATTTTCAATAGTAATCCAGTCTTCTCCGAAATGTTTAATCAATAGTTGTCTGACGTCATTTAATTTTTCTGTTTTTACAGGAACTCCAATATTCATCAACGTAGGTTTAATATTTTCATAAGACTTTCCTCTTTTACAAACATTCCCATAGTTGACCACTTCAGATACATAATTAGGTTCCCCTTTGATTCCAATTTTATTATTCTTATCTGTTCTCAGGAAAAAATCTGTTAGAAGCATTAAATTTGAAATGCCAAGATCCTGGTAATTTCAGCACATTTGTAACGCTTGTTTTCCAGTCATAAAACTGGAAGTCACTTCCAAGTCTAATAACTTTACCATATCTTTTGAAAATATCAAAATAAACCCCGGGTTCCGCAATCACCTCTAAAGGGCGTATCTCTCTTTCGATATTTCCAAATATACGGTCGGGTGGCAAAAAGGAATGCCCAACTACCGGAAATATATACCAATAGTTATTTTTTTAATTTGATTTGGATCTTTTGTTTTAAACCAATATGCCAACATTCCCAAAACTATGGAATTTTTATTTTGGCCCCCACAACCATCACAAAATAATTTTATATGTTCAATACTGCTATCAAAAGTGGTATTTAACAGCCTGTGAAATAATGCTGATGCAATCTGATTGGATCCTTTTAAAGCCTCGGTTTCGAGCCACGTGTATATAAAGTTATTTGAATAATTTTGAGGGCTACAAGATGGCCCTTGGCAGATGATTAGATTGTATGCATACAGTTGTCGGCTAAAGTAGGCACTTTGATCCGGCACTTTTGGTAGAACCTGATTCTTTTGACAATCAAAGGATAAGATAATTTCATTGTCACTTTGCGTCTTGAGGCTAGTATAAAAAGTTTTGGCCTTTAACCTGTGAATCCTAAGCTGCGCTGTCAACATCTGTTTTTTAGCTAGATCATTTTCACTTTTGATATTCTCTTTTAATTGAATGCACTTAGAGCAAACGTCAGTAGCCGGTGTCTTAAAACTTAAATTAAAAAAATTTGTAAATATTCTCCGAAAAAATTCGTATTTTACCGGCACATTTTGTGCTTCATTGTTATAAAGTTTGTGTAATTTTTTTATATTAAGGTCACTGCTCAGGTATTGTACTGTAGACCTTCCTCTCGTATAGTGTGATTCTATGGATTTAAGACTCTTTATAAATGACTTAACAGATTCTGTACGACCTGAATACTGTGAAGATCTTCTATACCACCTTCTTTTGCAAATTCTTTGTATTCTATCTTTAGATATTTCTAAAAGTGTGGTCATTGCTTTTTGGCATACTTTTTTAATTTGATGGAGCGTTTACCGCCGACAGTTGATTCGTACTTTGGAATAAAATAACATATTGTTTGAGTTTTTTTTGCCTTCTTTTTTTGGAGTTTAAGCTGTGCAATACTAAAGTAATTTTGTTTGAAGATGCATAAAAATGTCTGTAAAACTTACTATAGTCTTGAGTCGTCAACTCGTTACATTTATAACCCTGTTTTAAATTTCTATGTACTCATTGTGGTATTTTTGGAGGTTCCTTTAGCCACATATCTGCAACAAAACAGTAAAAAATAAACTACTTGTTCAATAAAATCAGACAAATTTAAGAGTTCGCCAATAATGGTTTTCAAACTATTCAAATTCAAATACATTTATTTCGGCCATCGTGTTAGTAATGCATAGAGACTTACCCTAGTGTTAGTTATTTACAGAAATTTAAATCTAAGTACACCTTGAATAAAATAAATAAATAAATTTTCTAAAATAAATTTATTTATTTATTAAAAGATAACCGAAATATAAAACTGTAACTTACCTTTTTTATTTTTCAATTTCTCTCTTCCAATTAGATTTATCTGATATTTTCTTACGTCCGCTTCTATTAGGTGCTAGAATAACTTCTTTTACTTGAAATTACATTTTAGAACACAAAATTTATAAAGAACTTTCATTTCGTAGATAGTAGACACGTACGTGCACATTAACAGCATCAAACGTACTGGTAGACAAAATGGCGGCATCTGCACGAGTACGTTGGCGTCTTGGCGACATTTGCAAGTGAATAGTAACTTAGACAGTTTTGAAAGTGAACTGTCAAATATCATGGCGACTTTTGCAAGAGTATACCATATTTAGCCTCAAATTATTCATAATGTAGCGAGTTTTGAAATAGTATGATAAATGTAGAGTAACAGTTTTTAAATTTCAAATACAATGGCCGCCATTGCAAAAAAATACTATTTTTTAACTTAGAGTGGTTTGCAAGTGGAATACTCAATTCTTAATGCCTTCAATCTTTGGGATGTGCAAGCGGAATTTGGAAAGGGAATGGGGTGTACAGATCAAGTCTTTTACATGCGCATGATCGCGGAGAAGTTTTTGGCGAAAAACCAAAAAGTTTTTTGTGCGTTCATGGGCTTGAAAAATGCTTATGACAGAGTGGACAGGGATGTGTTATGGCAAACGCTGAACGCATTTAGGTTGAGCGCTGGTTTAATACAGGCATTAAAGTCTCTGTATAGGGACTCGAGTGCTTGTGTTAGAATCAACGGGGCCTACTCGGACTGGTGTGGCATCCATAAAGGTGTCAGGCAGGGCTGTGTAGCTTCCCCGTGGCTGTTCAACCTATTTATGGACAGTTGTTTGGAAAATTTGAAAGTTGAAGAGTGTGGGTTAAGAATGGGTGTGTTAACCATCAAATGCCTTTTGTACGCCGATGATCAAGTCATACTTTCATCGTCGGCGGCCGAGTTGATGGTGGTGATGATTGGTGGAAATGATGGTTACATTAATGTACAGGTCATTAAAAGAAGGGGGAATGAAAGTGAACGCAACTTAGATGAAAGTGATGGTTTTTGAAAGAGTAGAAAGCAAAACTGTGTGTGAAATAAGAATAGAAGGAGAGTTGAGCAAGTGGATGAGTTCGTATATTTGGGATGTGTATTCAGAAGGGATGGGAGATATGATAAGGATATTGAACAACGAGTGAATGCAGGAAATAAAGTAAATAGGGCTCTACACTCTATTGTGAAAAGTCAGAATGTGTCAAAAAAAGGCACGTATGGCAATTCACAATGCTGTATTAGTCCCTACTTTAACGTATGGTAGTAAAAGTGGCAAGAAGAAGAGAAGAAGCAAGAGAGTAGAATAAATACAGTAGAAATGCGGTCGCTAAGGAGTATGTTAGCGCTGAATCTAAGTGACAGCGTGAGAAACTGTAATAAAAGAAGAGTGTGGTTTGCAAGATGATGCGGTGACCAGGATTAAGAAAGGAATGCTTCGGTGGTTGGTCACGTAGAAAGAATGAATGAGGAAAGACTGACAAAGCAAATATATGTTGCAGAAGTGAATGGAAGAGTCCGAAAGGGACGTCCTAGGCGGAAGTTTGTCGACCGAATTGGTGATATACTAAAAATGGGCCAAATTAAGAGTACCCTTAACCGACGAGCATGTATGAGTAGGTATATGGATGTGGAAGAGACGAGAGACGTATGTCAGGATCGTGCTAAATGGAAGTATGTAGTCTCTGCCTACCTCTCTGCGTGACAGGCGTGAGTGTTTATGTATGTAATTATCACGCCAAAAAATGTGCCTTAAACATTTTCTTAATTTATTTATTACTATAGAATAGATAGGTAGTGATCTTATTTTTTGTATTATTACTGTAGTAGAGTCCCCCTTTAAACCCTAAACTAAATACTGTCATTAATGTGAAAAATTTACGTGTTAAGAAAACAAATAAAAAGCTACGCGAGAACGTTGAGCGATATAAAATAGTTATGATTATTCTTTAATACGTAAAAAAAACAAAAACGCTAATGGCAACACACAATACACAGATAAGGGAAGTTACAATAAAATTTGTGAGTAAATTGTGCTTACTTGCTGTTAGTTCAAATACTTTTTCGTTTTATTACTTATAAGCTGCACTTTTGTATTTCGAATTGGAGTAAAATTATTATGGTTTAACGATTAATCCTAAGAAAACTCAGGTCATTGTCATCGGTAGTTCTAGATTGGTTGGTAAAATTGACTGGTCTTCCCTACCCCCTATTATACTAGACCGCACTCTAATCCCTTACAGTAACAAGGTTAAAAACCTGGGGTTGTATCTTGACTCCTGTATGTCTTGGACCTCACAGGTTAGTGAGGTCAGTAGAAAAATGTTTGCTGCGTTAAGCTCTATACGTAGATTACGTAATTTTCTTCCCACAGCAACTAAAGTTACGCTCGCCCAGTCTCTACTTCTGCCTATCCTTGACTATGCTGATATTTGCTATTTTGACATTACCGAGGAGCAGCTTAATAAGTTGAGCGCATTCAAAATGTATGCATTAGATTTATATTTGGGCTTCGCAAATATGATCATATCTCTGAATTTCGCAAACAGCTCATATGGCTCCCGATCCGCCCTCGCAGGAATACTCACATTCTCTCCGCATTGTATAGTGTGCTGTTTAATACTTCCACTCCTCTTTATTTAAAAAACCGTTTCCAATATCTTTCTCTTACCCATAATCGGTTCCTTCGATCCTCCGTCAATCTTTCTCTCCCTACACCTTTGCACTCTTCTTCCTTTTTTAAGAAATCCTTCACCGTAACCGCTGTGCGATTGTGGAACTCCTTACCTCTCCATATTCGTCGTGCTAAATCTCTTCACACTTTCAAAAGTCTTGTTAAATCGTATTATTTAGAACGTTATTAGATAAATTACTTTACCTTTCTCGTACTCTTTTCATTTAATCTACTATATGATATTTTATATATAACTTTCACTTATCTTTATTTGTATGTATTATTATATTTTTATTATTATTTTGTATGCCCCCCCTCTATTTTAACTTTAGTTTGCATCATTCCTCTACGCAAAGGTTGTCTGGAAGAAATCACTTTCAGAGTAATAAGACCGCCTATTGTACATACTTTAATTTAGTTTTAACTGTACTTGATGTTTCTGTATTGTGGTGTACAAAAAAGAATAAATAAATAAGCTGTGGTGTACAATTCTATTTTCTTCATAACGTTTTAGAAATGTATAGTCACGATAAATTACGATAACAATAGCGGCTTCATAAAACATACCAATGAACTAGCACTTTTCGCATTAACGCATTTATGAATCTTCTCGCAATATGTCTAACGCGGTAAACAGAAGACTCGCTCGTAAATGCAATGCAGTTTTCTCAGAATACTCGTTACGGGCAGCGGCAGCGGTAAACGAGCTA